TCCAAAGAAAGGTGATCCCACAGAATGTGGAAATTATAGAACAATATCATTAATATCGCACACAAGTAAGATCTTACTGAAGATAATTCAGAAACACAGCTGTGTATATATACACACACACACACATACATATACACGCACCAAACCCACAGCCACAGAACTAATTCCAACTTACAGCACCCCTACAGGACAGGGGAGAACTGCCCCATAAGGTTTCCAAGTCTATAAATCTTTATGGAAGCAGACCGGCTCATCTTTCTCCCACAGGGGGACTGGTGGATTTGTACTGCTGATCTTTCAGTTAGCAGCTATATTAGTTAACCATTATGCCACGAGAGCTCCTATAGACATAAATATGACACAATAAATTGTGATAAAGTTTATAACAGAGTAAATATTTTTAGACTATACAAGTGGGACCTAACCAAGTCATAAGGAGCTCTGGCGGTGCAGTAGTTAATGCACCTGCCTGCTAACCAAAAGGTTGGTAGTTCGAACCCACCAGCCACTCTGTGGAAAAAAGATGAGCCAGTCTGCTTCCTAAAGATTTACAGCCTTGGAAACCCAATGGTGGTTGCAGTGATTCAGAATTGACTCGATGTAGTGAGTTTAGTGTTTTTAACCTCATCATACTTGACTAAATAAGGGATGTTTGATTAACATGTGAAGAATAAGTAGATGTTAAAAGGATACAGAGCTAGAGGGGTGGTAGAAAGCATCCAACAGGGTGAATAGGAATAATGATTGCCCTAAAGCAGGAAAAAGAACAGCAAGCTCCAGGTTTAGTGTGGCCAAAGTACAGAGTTTAGAAGTGAGTAGTGTACAATAAACCTAGAGAGGATGGCAGAAGCTAAATCATGCAAGCAGGCCCTCAAAGGACATGTTAGAATTTAAATTTTACCCTCAGGGCAACTAGAAGGCACTAAAGGATTAAATACAAGAGGGTGACAAAAATCAGCATTTTAAAAAGACAAACTGAGCTGTCCTATGGAAAATGTCCTGTGGAAGATTGAGTTACTTATGGCAACATATTAAGAGGCTAACAGGAGCTCTGGTGGCATAGTAGATAAGGCATACGGCTGCTAACCAGAAGGTCAGCAGTTCAAACCCTCCAGCTACTCCACGAAAGGAAGATGGGGCGATCTATTTCCATAAAGATGTACACCCTCAGAAACTCAATGTGGGTCGCTATGAGTTGGAATAGACTCGATGGCAGTGAGTTTGGGTTTTTTTCTTTTTTCTTTCTGGTAGTTAAGTAGGTAAAAGATGACAGTAGTCTAGATTAGGATGATGGCAAAGTCTATAGACAAACCTAACAGATAATTTGAAGATAAAAACCAACCAGTGTTGAGCATAGGTTGTGTTTTCCAGATTGTCTATTTTCCAATGTATTTCTCTGTCTGTATTTTTAATGGTACAAATACAAATTTTAAGACCAATTATTTAATTATAATTATAGGCTCAAAATTGAGTGATAAAAGATTGTACAAGGAATAATAAGAAACATACCTATATATTTGACAATGGTAAACCAGATATAAAATTTTAAAATATGCTTATACTAATACACATTTCCCCCAGAAGTCTTGGAAACTTTACAAAATTTATGCTATTGTTCAGTATAAACATAAATATCAAGTTGCATCAAAAGTAATGGACCACACATTGAAAAATTTTATAAGCAATGCGGCCAAAATTCTAATCTGTTACTGATTAAGAGAAGAATGTTATTCATTTGTTGTTAGTTGGAATCTAACTTTCCTGAATATGGAGAAATGGGATGTGTATGTGTGTGTGTGTGTGTTGTGTGTGTATCCAAAGAATAGCAATAACACTGCGGGGTTCCAGGAAAACCCAATTTACTAGTAAATATCTTACAAATTCATTAAGTAGAAGTATAAACAGGTAAATAAAAAATATATTATTACAAAAATAAGTATCCCAATTGCAACTTCTAAACAGCAGCAAAATGGATGCTTTTTGTCCTTTCAATTTATTAATATCTGTATATGACTTAATATTTGTATATAATGCTTAACACCAAAACTAAACACCAAACTCACTGCCATCTAGTCAGATCCAACTCAGAGCGTCCCCTCCTTGGGTTTCTGAGGCAATATCAGTATGGAAGTATATTGCCCAATCTTCCTTTCAAGGAATGGCTGGTGGGTTTGAAAAGTGAAATGCCCTTAACACAGATTATCTTTTTTTGTGTGAATAAAATTTTTCCTCAAAATTTACAAGCAATCTAGAAATTCAAATTCAAAAATCTCTTTTCCAGAAGAACCCAGAACACCATTCTGAATTTCTACTGTACAAAAATAAACTTGAAGGTAGAATCATAGCAATATGTAGCAGAAAGTTCTTACCAATTTTTCATCAACTGTGATGAGTTGTGTGTCTCGAGTTTGATCCTGTGCCAATCGCCATGTGGACGTGCTCAACAACCTGCAGTGCAAGACTTTAAGTTAAAAATGATCCATGTAATGAGAAAAGAGAAGCAGACAAATCTTACAGGGGAAATAAAAAGGAAGAAAGAGAAGAGGGCACAAAAATCCTTTCTTTCTGCAATCAGTTCTGTCTGTTGAAATTTTGGCAGACTCTCACTTGACAGCTCACAACAGGCTGTACTTTACATCAGTCTACAGGCTGTCAAAGAATAGCCACTAGTGACAAGGACTGCACTGCTCTTTATGTGTGTACTTTGGCTGGTTTGTCACCATCAGCAGAAAAATGCAAGCAAAACTATATCAAGTGTTCTGGAACTCTGATTTCTAAATGATAGCATCAGGAAGAAAAAAAAAGTATATCTCAAGCATATTCTTAATGGACTAAAGTTGCTGTTGTTGTTAGGTGCCATCAAGTCAACTCTGACTCATAGCGACCCTATGTACAACAGAATGAAACACTGCCCAGTCCTGTGCCAGCCTCAAAATCCTTGCTATACCTGAGCCCATCATTGCTGCCACTATGTCAATCCATTTTACTGAGGGTCTTCCTCTTTTTCACTGACCCTCCACTTTACCAAGCATGATATCCTTCTCCAGGGAATGGTCCCTTCTGACAACATGACCAAAGTAGGTGAGATGAAATCTGGCCATTCTCGCTCCCAAGGAGCTTTCCAGCTGCATTTCTTCCAAGACAGATTTGTTAGTTCTTCTGGTAGTCCATGGTACTTTTAATATTCTTCACCAACACAACTCAAAAGCATCAACTCTTCTTCGGTCTTCTTTATTCACAGTCCAGCTCTCACATGCATATGAGGCAACTGAAAATACCATGGCTTGGGTTAGGCGCACTTTAGTCTTCAAAGAGACATCTTTGCTCTTCATCACTTGAAAGGTCTTTTGTAGCCAATCTGCCCAGTACAATACATCGTCTGATGTCTTAACTGCTGCTTCCATTGGTGTTGATCGTAGAACCAAGTAATATGAAATATTTGACAACTTCAGTCTTTTCTCCAATTTTCATGATACTGCTTATTGGTCTGGTTGTGAGGATTTTTGTTTTATGCTAAAATGAAATTCATACTTCAGACTATAGTCTTCCATCTTCATCAGTAAGTGCTTCAAGTCATTCTTACTTCCAGCAAGCAAAGCTGTGTTGTCTGCATACTGTAGGTTGCCAATGAGTCTTCCTCCAATCCTGATGCCATGCTCTTCTTCATATAGTCCCGCTTCTCAGATTATTTGCTAAGCATACCGATTTAATAAGTACGGTGAAAGGCTACAACCCTGACTCACTCCCTTCGTGATTTTAAATCACGCAGTATCCCCTTGTACTGTTTGACTGATAGCCTCCTGGTCTATGTACAGGTAATGTCTGCAGATAAAAAGTTTCCTCATTCTCAACTCAAAACAAATGTAGGTTAAGTAAGAGTGATGTGTATAATCAACAGCTAAAGGAGGACATCATGTTTGGTTAAGTAGAAGGCCAGCGAGGGCAAGGGAGACCCTCAGTGAGGCAGAATGCCATGAAAGCCCTAATGGTAGATTTGAACATGCTGGTGATTATAAAGATGATGCTGGATTAGAACATTTTGTTCTTTTGTACATAAGGTCACCATAAATCAGAGTTGACCCAATAGCAGTTAACAACAGGAACCTGAAATATAGATTATAAGATGTATAAAAAATTCACCCTGAGAGTCCTATGGTGGGTGTAGGGGGGCAGCTCATAGAGGCTAGTATGCAGCTTCCACAGGATTTGAAACCAAGGAACAATAAGACTATGCTACAACTGAACAGGAAAGATTTTGCAATACATGTTAAGACAGTGAATTAATTAATTAAATAACTATAGATCCCAAATGGAAAATTACAGACGCAGGTAATGATTTGTTATTCACTAATTCTCACACAGACAAATTTGTAGTATAATCTTCTAGTGAAGAACAGAGTTAATTTATTTAATGATAGTTAATAATTGTCTTGCATAAAGCTAAAGAAACCAAGGAGTATAATATACATGTAACATAACGTTCTAGAAAATTTAGAAAAGGTGACGGTAGGGGAGTTTGATGGAGGGAGGGTCTTTAAATCACATATAATATTATCACATCAATATGCCATCACGATTATATTTCAGTTTACTTACTTCTGGCTACTTTTCATGTCCTATATTTTTATGTTTTTGAACATTTTAACTGTGGAAAATTTTAAAGAAAAACATCGATTTATGAGTGATAATTATACTGCATTTCCACAGGGGCTTTCTAAAACAAATCAGAACTATTGTGCTCCATCTGTTAGAATCACATGGACTATATAATAATCTCCAATTGTTAAGAGCAACATATACTACACTTACTAGAAGAAACTTTAGAGAGCAACAAATTCCTCACTTAACAAATTTCCAAAGAATGAAACAGAGGTTCAGAGAAGGTAAAGTCATTTGCCTATATATAAAACTACTTAAGAGGTAAAACCAAGGTTAGAAATTAAGAGCTGGAGGTCTATTTCCCCTCTCCTTGAATCTGAGCTCTACAACTGCTTAAGCAACAGAATATAGTACAAGTGACATTATGTCTGTTTCCAGGCTCAGACATTAGGAAACTAGCAGTTTCCACTTCCTGCCTCTTGGAACATTCTCTCCAGAGATGTTCACTCTTGGAACCCAGCCACCATGTTATAAGGAAGTCAAAGCTGCCCTAAAGTGAAGCCATTTGACGAGGAACTGATAGTTCCTCACATGCCAGCCATATGAGTGAGCCATATTGGAAATGGATCCTCCAGTCCCAGTTGAGCCACCCCAGCTGACACCATATGGTGGAAAGACTAGTTGTCCCTGTTAAACCTTGCTAAACTACAGACTTGTGAGCAAAACAGATGATATGGTTGTCGTTTAAAGCCACTGAGTTTTAGGGTGGCTTGTTTCTACCAAAAGATAACAAAAATATCCCTACCAAAAATGATGTCCTGGACTTTTGGACAAATCAAAATTCCTAATCCAACAGAAATCACTAAGGAATCAGTGAATCCTCAGTCTTTTGATTGTTGTTATGTGCCATTGAGTCAGACCCAACCCACAGCGACCCCTCCTTTGGTTTCCAAGGCAGTGTCACTACGGAAGTAGATTGCCCAAACTTCCTTCTGAGGAGTGGCTGGTGGGTGTGAACTGCCAGCCGTCTAGTTAGCAGTCAAATGCCTTAGGCACTACACTACCAGAGCTCCTAGTCTTTTGATTAGAAACAATTAATTAATGTTTTTTTGACAATTTATTACCAATTGAATTAACCCAATTTCACTTTAAATCAGGAAGTGTTTACTTCTATGCTGAACCATAAGGAAGTATTACTGAGAATTCTGACTGAAATGATAAAATAATCATATAAACATGGTTGCTGCTTAGGTGAATCACCTCCAAATTTAGGATCTTGAAATCTTTCAAGATGCTGAATTAAAAGAAAATTAAAGTTGGCATCAGCATACTGTACTGAGTAGACAGAAGCAAGAGAGAACTGATTGTTAATAGAAAACTAAGGATGAAAAGCCAAGGGACTGTTTCAGTATTTGGGGAAAATATTTTGAGTAAAAGGAGACAAACACTGGACAAATATTTTTGGTTAACTTCAGTAGAAATAACAGTGAAGATAATTAGTTTACAATCTATCCACAATACCATAGATTATTTGTAATTCAGAATAATTTCTAATCATTATCTACACTACTTAATATTATCTTAAAATATTCAACTCAAGTCAGCTCATAGCTGTCCTTTCTCTCATTATTCTTAGCCATGTAGAACTTGTATCAAGAACTAATTGCAGTTGTGCCTCTGGACCCTACTCTGGCCAAAAACTTCAACTAATCCTTTGAGAGTCATCCAAAAGACTAAGGAAAGATTTGTGCAAGAGGGTTAAGTATAATTATGCTCACATACCAGGCTCTGGAATGGAACTGACAAACACTAAGGAGGAAAATAAGGGTGAGGCATTGGAGGGCATAATGGAAAATGTAAATGACAAGGAAATATACCCAAGTTTATAGCAACAAGTTATCAAAATAAATATAAATAAGATAAAAAATAAGGGGCTCAAGTAAGAAAGACAAAATGCCATGATGATAATTATAATTACAACATAAAACACAAAGTATATATGAAAAGTTCTTAGTTAGGAAGGTCAAATCATGGAAAAGAATAATGCTACTGATTTGGAATGCCCTACAAGGAAGGACTTGCTGTATTTTAGCTTGCAGAAACCCTGGAAGCTAATATATTTATATTTACAGATTATTAGTCTATAAATTAAATATAATAGTGATAAAAATCCTAATGGAATTATTTATAAAAATTAGATAATTCTCATCAAGAAGAAAAAATCATAAAAATAACCAAGGATATAATGAAATACAATAATGAAATAGGATGTGCTTTGCCAGGTAATATACAACAGTGATTAAAATATTGTGCTATTAGTGTAGGTACAGACCAATAGATAAATTGTATAGAACATACTAGAGTCCAAAAACAGACTATGCACATCTGTAAATACTAAAGGTACAATTTCAAATCATTGGTGAAAGGCTTGTCGTTGTTGTTGTTATATACCATCAAGTCGTCTCCGACTCATAGCAACCCTATGCACAGCAAAATGAAAACACTGCCTGGTCCCGCACCAGCTCCACGATCCTTGCTATACTTCAGCCTATCACCACAGCCACTGTGTCAATAATCCATTTTGTTGAAGGCCTTCCCCTCTTTCATCAACCCTCCACCTTACCCAGCATAACATCCTTCTCCAGGGAATGGTCCCTTCTGATAACATGACCCAAGTAGGTGAGATGAAGTCTGGCCATTCTCATTTCCAAAGAGTGTTCCGGCTGCACTTCCTCCAGGACAGATTGTTAGTCCTTTTAGCAATGCATTTCAGTATTCTTTGCCAGCACAACTCAAAAGCATCAACTCTTCTTTGGTCTTCCTTATTCATTGTCCAGCTCTAAGGGAGC